TGGAATGGATCCACCCCACCCTCTTTGGCATTGGTGCTCTCCTCCGCCGAGTCCTTTCAGTCGAGAATCGAAACTGACCCATGTCCCTGCCCGTCTCGACCCCCATTCCTATTTGAGAACACAAGAGCTCTACTCCAGAGAAACAGCCCGTTTGCCATTAGTCCCTTCTTCTGGCTGCATGCTGGAGAAGCGAGACTCTGCATTGTATTCCTTTGTCCTTTTTTTAATTTCCTGGAGAGAACTTGATGGGCCATGGCTTTTTTTGGGGGGGGGAACTAGCATTGTACTCCTTGGAGATTAGATCTACAGCTACTTTTATAGACTCGGTAAATGGACAGCGAAAGGTTGCAGGGATGGGCAGAAATAAAGAGCAGGTGAAAAGGAGGGGGAGAGGGAGAAACGTAGCCGCTTCCAATCAAATGAGTCAGCCAGCTTCACGAGGTTAGATAAACAGGGAAGAGAACATTCCAGGGCGTCTTTTCTTTATCTTCGCTTCTCCATCGACACTTATGTTTCACTGTTTAAGTGGTGGGAAGGTTGAGGAGTTCCAAATCCCTCCACACCCATAAGGTCACGGATACCATCCAGCAGGCTCACCTGAGGTGCTAGCGCACCGATATCCCCCAAAGTGGCTGCTATCGAAATATGTGTGTTTTATGGGAAAGGAAAACAAACGTTTCCTTAGCCACAAAATATTTTGCCCAGGATGCCAAGAAGATAAGATTTCCTCTCACGAAACATGATAGCTATGGGAAAGATGTCGGGACTTTCCTGTCAGGACTGAACTTTCTCTGCTCGGCCAGACTCAGACCCACACCTTTCCCGTCCACCAGTTTCCTGAACTGTTCGGGTTCAGAAGCATTTGGAACTGGGCATTATTTGGTGAAGTCCGAATATTTCCAAATCAAAATCATACATCCAAGTGGGTGTGTAAAGTGCAATCAAGATGGAGAGCCAGTTTGGTGTAGTGGTTTATCAAGATGGAGAGCCAGTTCGGTGTAGTGGTTAGGAGCATGGACTGTAGTCTGGGAGAGCCAGGTTTGAGTCTCCGCTTCTCCACATGCAGCTGCTGGTGTGACCTTGGGTCAGTCACAAGTTGTTTCTTGTTACAAGCTGTTCTCTTACGGGCAGTTCTCGAGAGAGCTCTCTCAGCCCCACCTACCTCATAGGGTGTCTGTTGTGGGGAGAGGAAGGGAAGGAGATTGTAAGCCGCTCTGAGACTCCTTTGGGTAATGAAGGGCGGGGTATAAATCTAATCTCCTCCTCTCCTTCTTCTTCTTCTTCTGATGATGATGATGATAATGATGATGATGATGATGATCCTGTAGAGAGCTTTGACTCTAGATAGCTCATACCCAGTGTTCCCTCTAAGCTGAGTTAGTGTGAGCTAGCTCACAGTTTTTTAGCCTCCAACTCACACAT